CGTAAGATACCGAAAAATATTGAAAACACCAGAAAAATGAGAGAACAAACACAAGAAGAGTATATGAGAGAAAAAAAATTATATTTCCAATATTTCAGGACAATATACAAAAAACTCTCTCCTGTTTACAAGACTAAATTCCAGATACTCATAAACAAATGTTTCTACATCCTATGCCCGGATGTATTTTTCTGAGTAACTAAAACCAGTTACTCCCTACACTCACTTATACTCACCAAGACCCCTTGGATTTTCCCGGTGGTATTCTTGTGTAAAATTCCTACCATTTTCTCTCTCTACCTTGGTGGTGTGTAAGACCCACACACACTTGCACTAAGAAAACCATGGCTTTTTAAAGCCAAAATAAACCGTGCAGGCTATGTCATTGGCCAACAACCCAACATAAAAGTCCAAACATGGGAAAATCAACTTGATTCCCTTCAATCCAAAGATCTACAAATGCATGCATCAAAGGATTATCATCACATGCCATGCATCTTCCTTTAATTCCTTGCTTTGCTACTTTTTTTTTCTTCCTTTTTTTTCATTTTTCTTTTCTTTCTTTTTGAATATTTAATCAATATTTCCCAACATAAGATGTACAATTTACATAGTTAAAAACTAATTAAAAACATGTAGTGAGATATCTATTTTATTTTATCAATTAACTAACAAAAATACATATACAAACAAAATTTATTAAAGGTCGTCCATAAATAGTATGCATGATTATATTTTAAGAGTGAAAAGAACAATAATTTTAATAATATTACTCTCTTCATCCTAAACAAATTACCGGAGTACTTTTTTTGTATTCATGAAAAATTAAAAGAATGAAAATCATAGAATATAAAAAAGTGAGTGGGTTTTTTACTTTTTAAATAGAAGCAAAGTATACTCCCTCCGTCCCGCAAAAAGTTTCCCTCTCTTTTTTCATCCGTCCCAAAAAACACTTCTCATTTCTTTTTAAAAAGTTATTTTACTCCTACTAATTCTTAACCTACCTATCACATCACACTTTTTCTCTATTAATCTATCCATCACATCCTACTTTATCTATCACATCAAAGGGCATTTTTAAAAAGTTAACACCAAAATCACTATAAGAAATTATGTCTTTCGCCACACTTAAAATTGCTCTTTGCAACATATATAAGTGTGGCAAAAAGTGTTCGCCACACATGAGCTAAGTGTGGCGTCTAAAAGTGTGGGGAATTTTTTGCGACACATAATAAGTGTGGCAAAATGAATACGGTAAGCACACTTGTAAGTGTTGCTAATCTTGTCTTTTGCGACATTTATATGTGTTTCCAACGCACCGCACATGTAAATGCGGCAATTTTTATTTGCTTGAATATATATAAATATATATATATATATATATACACATACACACATACATACATATAAATTAAAAATCAAGACAATCAAAGTTTAAATTAAATTAACTTCTTGCATATAAATTAAAAAGCTATGCCATCATCAAATTATAAGTACCTCCATGGGTAGTACGTATATCAAAAATCTAGAGTCAAAACAAATGAGTTCAAAATTAAAAAGGAATGCAATATATATTCAGTATTCTATGATATGTCCTCCAACCACTGCACAATGTAGATCTTCACTTTGTATTCAAACTAGTGCGGAATCACTCATGCATAAGCCTGACTTCAGTTTATACATTAATCTACTTCTGCTCTCTTATGCATAAGCTTGACTTCAGTTTATAAAAAAGCTTTACCATCTTTTCTTGTGTTATTATCTTTGTTCGACACCTGCAAAGTCCAAAAAACTTTGAATTAAATCTCTATCATATAAGAATTATGCAAAAAAAGTGATACCTAAGTATAAAAAGACATGCAAAACAGCGAAAGGCAGTAATATTGAAGACGAAAATTATTGAAGACGAAAATTAGAGCTATAGATCATGTAGTATCATGATATCATCATCACCTTAGTCCCAATTAATTGGGGTCAAGGACATGAAAGTTATAGTGCCACTTAGTTGTTTAAGTAAGTTTAACACTATGAAATTTATGCAAAAAAGTGTTTAACAGATCTGGACTAGTGCCTGTCGTTGGAATAAGATATCAAAAAACATTGCCTATACATTTTATTGAGTATTTACATCAATTAGGAGTAAATATCTTGCAATTCAATAAGGCTGTACAGATTTTTAGGGTCTAAATTTTAAAAATTAGCGCAATAGATTTTTAGACAATCTAATTTCAGGACAATCTAATTGCAGGCCAAACGAATTGAATGCTAAGATGATACGCAAGATAGATTAGGTTTACATACCTGGCCGGTGGATTGTGAAAGTGATGCTGAAGGACTGATGCAGACTGATGTAGGCCGGAGGAGATGTGCGCCAGAGAGATGAATGCTATGCGTGCGCCAGAGATAGAACGCGATGGTGCGCCACAGAGATGAGCGATTCCAGGGCTAGAGAGCACGCGAGAGCACGCAGACGGCAGAACGAGTGAGAATGGATCGATAGATTAGGTTTACAGATTTTGGTTTGAGGAGATGAATTATTAGGCGAATAATGGAGCGGAGAATGAAAACTTAAGCGCGGGATTAGATTTTTAGTGAATTAGAATAAGCGGGCTTAGATTTTTTAAGGTGATTAGGGACTAATTTTAGAATTTCAATTACTAAAGTGCAATTAATTTAATAAATTAAATACATTTTCTTAAATTAAGTATATATAATTGATTTGGCACACTTAATTATGTGGGTACATGAAATTATTTATAACAACTCTTTTAAGTGTTAAATTTTATTGCCACACTTAGTCAAGTGTGGCAAATTAAATGCGGCAAAACTCATAATTTCTTGTAGTGAATACACTCCTCTTAAATTCTTAAAAAGTCAAAACGGAAACTTTTTTAAGGCACGGAGGGAATATTAGATTACATATACTTCTAAACAAGAGAAAGATAAAGAGTGACTTTCTGGAGATATCTATAATTAAAATACGGCCCGGTTCTAGTGACACCGGAGAATGGTGCCACTCCGGTGCCACTGCGTTTTTGGAGCACCTCCAGTGCTTCGTTCGTAAAATTGACGATTTCTACCCCTCCTAACCCACCCCCTAAACCCCCCACCCCTGCACCCTACCCCAACCCCGCCGTAAGCCCCCCACAAAATGTGTGGCTATTATGCAATGCATAATAGCCACACATTTTGTGAGGGCTTACGGCGGGGTTGGGGTGGGGTGCTGGGGTGGGGGGTTTAGGGGGTGGGTTAGGGGAATAGGAACCGTCAATTTTACGAATGGAGCACCGAAGGTGCCCCAAAAACACAGTGACAACGCTAGTGGCACCGTTTTCCGGTGTCACTAGAACCCCACCGATTAAAATATTATGTTACCATGATTTCTTACACAAGTTTTACGCATCGAAGACAGAGACCGTTTTTGTTAAATCCTTGATGATGCATTCCTGCATTTATTATCCAAAACTTCATAGGAAGTATGATGCAAAGGAATTTTAAGGTAACAATCTGATTTCACCCATTATTATCGGATGTTGAAACATTGCAAAAAAATGAGTATTTTGGCTCTATTAGCAATGGAAGAAAGATAAAGAAAAACATGCTTGTAACAAAATTTCAGAATGAAACAAATACCATACACATTACAGAATTGAAGCAGTGATAAAGAAACACATATCAAGAGAATGACTTGCCCTGAGTATGATTTTATACTGAAGATGAAGAGGGTGAGGCAACTTGTAATTAACCTGAAAATAGGAATCACGAATCAAAATTTAAAAACTAGGGTTTATAGAAGCTACCTGAGAACCTCATACAAATTAAATGCGAAGAATGTTGCCGATAGTGTGGCCTTTTCTCTAGACAGTTGAAGGAGCGGTATTGAGAATGTTGCTGTTCCGCTGGTATCAAACCCTAGGGAGAGAAAAAACAGAGACAAAATCCATAACTACACGCCACGAGATAAAATGTGCATAATCAGAGAGCAAAAGCGTATAAACAAATCATTCGTAACGATCGGGGAGCATTTAGAATCGTCTTAAAAAAATGTAAACGGAACCGAAAAAACAAATCTAAACACCAAGAATGCGTTTGCCGGGAGTCGAACCCGGGTCTATTGCTTGGAAGGCAATTATCCTAACCGTTGGACTACAAACGCTTGGTTGACGTGAAACTTCGTGTGCCGGTACATACTTTATATCTGTAAGCGAAGCTTTCAATATACTCCATCCGTCTTATAAAAGTTTTCCAGCTTAGAAAAGTATCCTACTCCGTATCATTTAAGCAATGTTTGATTTTAATGTCAGTTTCCAATTTTGCACTAATTTTATACAAGGATTGCATAGAATGTAATTGAAAAATTAATACTCTAGTAAATATATGCCCATATGGTTTAATATGTAGGTTAATGATTAGTATGTGTAAAAGAATGATTTTAATTCAAAGTTAAAGTATTCTTTGAAATAAACAAAAAGTAAAACTTGTAGAGTGCTTGTGCTTCTATGCTACACCTTGTGTGTCTACCATTTTTGTAGATCTTCTCACATAAAAAAAAGTTTTTTTTAATTTTTTTATTTTAAAAAATAGATACTTATGTAAGTAGTAAAGAAATGCTTATTTTGTTCATATGAAGGTCAATTGTGAACCTTAGGTCCACCATAAAATTTGTCATACTCTTGTAAGCTTGTGATCCCTATGTTTGCATGAGATATGACGGGTAAATTTCAATAAAGATACATAAACATTCACGAAAATTTTGATTTGGTACCTGAACTTCAAATATTTTTCGCAAAAATACTCGAGTTTTTACGATCCTTTTACTAATAATCTATTTTCCTATTACCAGGTGAGCAAATTCTGTGGTGGACCTAAAATGCATCATAGACCTACATATAAGCAAAATAGGTATTTTTTATTACTTAAATTAGTATTTATTTTTAAATAAAAAAATTATATGAGAAGGTACAAAAAATGATATGCACCTAAGGTGCACCAAAGAAGCACTATACCAGGTGACCAGCAGGTCACTTTGGGCCAAATTGTAAAATCTGAATTTTTATTTTCCCACATTGACCCACATATCTTCTTTTTCTTTTCTATAGACTCCCATAATCTATATTCTTTTCTTTTTTAACCATCTCACCCTTCTTTCTCTCCTTTTCATCTTCCCTTCTTTTCTTCTATACTAATATCACTCTCGTGCGTTGCACGGCTAATATTTTTAATATGAAATTATTTAATCACTTTATTATTTAAAAATTAAAATTAACAACAAATAGCTTATTAAATCAAAATATAAAATTTAAAGAAATTTGACTTTTGCTTTTTTGTGAGCTACATTGTTATCGCTATAAAAAACCCCACATTAGCAGTACAGTTAATAGGTACACAATGAAATTTATGTAGTATTTAGTAAGTAATGAAGTAAAAATATGCATCAAACACTTGCCCAAGTATTTATGTATTTTTTAAGTAAGTAATTAAAAAATATAAACTTAAAACTAAGAACTTTGCATTAAATTGATAATATTATAAATCAATTAGATTACAAATTACCAATTTGAACAATTACATTGGGTTAGAAATTACAAACAAATACATTAAATAAGAAATGCAATATATCAATTTTATTGATTGCATTTGAAAATTGCAGTCATTTAAAATTTGGATCATTTTTATGATTTACAAATAATCTTTAAAATTGAATCACACATTATATTATTTCTATCTAAATAATTGTGACAATCCTACATATGAAATGAATTTTAAAACTTTAGTACTAAAATTATTTTTAAAACTTGGGTAGAAACTAAAAATTAATAGATGATAGAAATCCACAGGTGGAGCAAATATTTATACATGCTAGAAGGGATTTGAAAAGAAAATAGACGTGCAAAAATTTTCATTATAACTAATGACATTATGTATGGTAATTAATAATAAATGTACGATAATATTTAGGTTCCTAATAGCTTTTGGTTACCTTTTATGTTTTACACTAACTATTACGGAGTATAATTCTTCATTTAACATTTATTTATTTACTATTATATTTGAGTAATGCTAGAGTCACAAACAAATCGTTCATAAAAATCACAAACTTGTCTTTTTAAGTTCTTAGTAGAAATAAGGTACACTTAAATAATAAAATATAATTTAATTTAATATCTACAAAAGACAAATTTGTGAAGTTTGTGAGTTATTTGTTTGTGACTCTAGTATTTTTTTATTTATTTAGAACACTCCATTTATTTAGAACATTTATTTACTTACCATTACCGTAATCCTCCATGTACCATGTTACATCAAAACTTACCATTTTATTTAGAACTCTCTATTTATTTAGAATATTTATCTACTTACCATTACCGTATTCATCCCCATTTTATTTAGAACACTCCATTTAATTAGAATACTTATTTATTTACCATTACCGTATTCCTCCAAGTACCGTGCTGCAAAATTAACATTTACTTTCGGACTATTATTATTTTTATTAATGGTACCATTTAATAAGGCCACCTGTTATATGGTTATTAAGGATCTTGACATTTTTAGTCATTAGTTACGTTACCATTTACGTAGTATGTTTTACACGGTCACAATTTTACATGTTTCCATCAATATTTATTTATTCTTACATTTATAGTATACAATATTCATTAAAGTAATTTATGTTACAAATTACACTCATGATAAACTATAATGGGAACATAAATAATTACACATGGTCAAAGTCCCATTTAATTATATTTATTTATTTTTTAATTATATTTATAAATTTATTTATTATTTTGTTTATTAATTTTAGAAATGGGACTATATAATACTACCTCCGTCCCACTCTCTTTGTCCACTTTTGACTTTTGGAATCATCTAAGCACTTTGACTTATCAAATTCTCTCAATGTGTAAGCTTAAATATAGTCATGTGTGATCTTGTTTGATTTGTCTTAACATATAGATTATTAATAAATAATTTCTATAATTTTTTAATATACAAATTACAAGATAAAATGGATTAAAGAAGTGCATTGGATGGTGTGCCAAAAGGTAAGTGAACAAAGAGAGTGGGACGGAGGGAGTACCACATAATATTTCACGATGACTTAGTATGCCGCATTAATTCTAATAGGGGAGAGTTAATTGTGATACCTTAAATACAATTTATTAAATTGGTAGTTTACAAAGATGAAGGACAACCGTAAATCTAATGAAATCAATGGTGCTGAATGAATGTGCTTTGGGCGGGAAAAGCTTGGGACAGAATTCACCTGCTTTTAAGAATAGAATGATTTTTGTTTGTTTTTTTCTTTTCTTTTTTCTTATTTGCTACTTTTTCCTTTTTCATTTGCTTTTTTCTTTTCATCTTCTTTTAACTCTTTATTTAATTTTTTATTCATTTTCACCTTTTATCATTTTTTTTCCTTTTTCTTTTAATTTACTTCATTTTGCTTTCTCTTTTCTTTCTTTTTCCCTTTTTTTTAATTTTTTAATTTTTTTAATTTTCTCTCTTTGTTTTTGTTTGCTATTTTTTTATTTAGTTCCTTTTTGACACCTTTATTTATTTCTGAATCCTTTTATGCCTTTTCTCATTTTGTACTTTTTTCTTTGTTTTATTTTCTTTTATGTTTTTCCTTAATTTCATTTTTCCTTTATTTATATGTTTTGTTGTTTTTGGTTTACTTTATCTTTTTATCTTTTTTGTTAATAACTATATTACTTTTATTTAATATACCTTTCGTCCTAAAAACCTTTCCAATTATACTTTTCATTCATTTCAAAACATTTTTGCTTTCAATTAATATCTCTCTTTTTTTATAATAATTATTAACCTACCTATCATATTATATTTATTATGTACTCCGTACTAATCTACTTAGAATAAATATATCATGATATGTAGGTAGGCTAAATCTCATCTATATTTAACTTTATGCCTATCATATTTACTATAAAGTTAGACAAAATTTAAAAATAACATTTCTTAAATCCCATCTTTTTTCAAAATAAATGTTCAATAGGACAAAGTCACAAAGATAGTAGAGTATGATCATTGAGAGACATACTAGCTAATTAGTGATAAATGAATAATGCATCAAGTATAAGTCGTGTGTTGAGTCACATAAAAATGCATGCCTATAGCAATGAATGTATAATATATTTTCGTCCCTACGGAAGACAAATGTTTATGGATAAAATGTTATTAGTAGTTTTTTTATCTACTCTAAACACAATGTTGAGTTTCAAGTAATTTGAAAAGGAAAATAAAAATAAAAAATATTTTTCTTGTTTAGTTAGAAAGGGAAAAAAAAGTAAAAGGAAAAGAAATATGAGAAGACAAAATCTATATAAAAAGGGAGAACCAAATTTCTAGTATTTTGGTGAAGAAATGTTATAAAACAAAGCAAACAAACAAACCAAACTATTTTGAGTAACATACAAATGCGTGCCTATGGCAACGAATGTACGGAGTATAATATTTTCGTCCCTACGGAAGACAAAATGTTTAGGATAAAATGTTAGTGGTTTTTTATCTACTCTACACACTATGTTGAGTTTCAACTAATTTGAAAAGGAAAATAAAAAATAAAAAATATTTTTTGTTGTTTGGTTAGAAAGGAAAAGAAAAAAAAGAAAAGAAATATGAAAAGACAAAATCAACAAAAAGAGGGAGACCCAAATCTCTACTATTTTGGTGAATAAAATGAGAAAAAAATCATTTTCCTTCAATTTCTATCAAAATTTCTTGAACCAAATATAGTGTGTATATATTAGTTGTTATAAATATTTTATTAGATAAAAAAATATGAGATACAAAATTGTAATTTATTTAAAATATTTTTGGTAAAGTATTAAATAATTGACTTTAAACTCTTTTCTTAGTGGTAAACATTGTGAGTCAATATCAAACAAATTGAAAATAAATATTAAAATCATAAAAAACAAAAAACTATACCATTACCGTTCTAAACAGTTCCAGTTCCGATTTCAGTACCAAAAAATTGATGTGGTTGGGCTTGCCGGAAAGATAAGTCATATCTCTACTAGAGGTGGTGCTAACATAAAGCTACTTGTGGGGGAGAATGCTTCTAGGTGTTCTTGCACTTGATATTTGAGAACATTTCATTTTGTTCATGTGAAATTTGCACTGAATAGGACTAAAACATAATTCATTTCTCAATGTAAAACTTAAACTTTTTTATTCCCTAAATAGGACTTAATAACGTCTAGTGAGAAGAATAATGTCCAAGTGATGCTGGACATTTAGTTGAATAATGACTAATAGATAATGACCAATGGTCCTACATTGGGAAATAAAAACATATGGTCTTATATTGAGAAAGTCATTATATTTTAGTCCTATTTAGGTAAATTACCCATTTGCCTTAACAAATGGAGCAATTCTTTTATGTTTTTGTCTTAATTATTTGGTTATTAGATCGAAAATAGATTTTATTTGATCTGTGATGGAGGATGATTCCAAAAGACACGTTGGCCGGACCTAATCACCCACGTGGAAGAGCTTTCTGCTCGGCTTTTGAGCTCGGCTCGGCCTATGAGCTCGGCTAGGCGTCATGACAGCGATGGGAGGAAAGCAACCGGCCGCGTTGACTGCACGATAGCGACGCGATGAAAAGGACAACTCACGACAGAGATGACGTCCGCTAGGCGACGAACCTCGATCAGAGAACCTTGACTATGTGTATTACATCCCCTATAAAAGGGGCGAGACCCCTCATTGTAATAGACCAAAGTTTAGAACGAATAAACTCCTACTTTGCATTCTCTCTCTCTAAAACTTATATTATTCTTTATTCTCGGTGGTTTATAACCATCAAATTGGTGCTCTCGTTGAGAGGAGAGGAACATACTCGTAGGTTAACTCCCGAACGCGAGAATGGTGCAAACAAGGAGCAACGTCCCTACCACCAGTCACGTCGGTGGCGAAGAGAACGCGCCGGGCAGCGGCAACGGCACGGGAGGCATCGGCTCAACCCCGGATGCGGTCCAGGCGCTATTCGGCCTGGGGGTGACCACGGAGCAGCTTCAGGCGGCCGTTGCGGCACTTTCCGCCATGGGTGGAAATGTGCCCAGCGCCGGAGCAGGGAAAGCTCCGCCCGGACCCCACGCCGAGCACGCTGCCACTTCACAGCACAAGGGGAAGAAGACCAGGAGGAGTAGAAGGAGGCCCTGCAAGGCCCCGGCGATCGAGGAAGTGATTGTGGAGGACGTTCCGGAAGGAGAAGAGGATGAATCCAGCGAAGGCCGAGTGTCAGCCTTCAGACGCTTGGAAGGCGAGGAAACCCGGGTGTCGGCCTTCGACAGGCTCGACCGCGGACCGGATGGTCGCATGGGCGACCTCCGCCGACAAATAACCGAAGGTAGGCGGAGGCATGCTGAGGAGTCCGCAACATCGGATGCCCGCTCGGCGAGGCCCGAGCGGAGCGGAGAGAGGCGGGACGAGCGCACCCAGCGACGCCATAGCCCGACGTGAACTGAGAAGACGAAAGTCTCTGACCAAGGGGTATCTCGGCTCGCTCGTGAGATTGCTGAGCTAAAGCGCCGAGTGGAGACCAGAGCTCCCTACAGCCAGCCTATCTTGCGGACGGTGACCCTGTTCACTCCGAGGGTCATGTCGATTCCACTACCGGCAAACTTTCGGCCGTGGCAGATCAAGGCCTACAACGGAACGACGGACCCCCAAGATCATTTGTCCAAGTTCTACGCTTCTATGGAAGCGGCGGCAGCCCCGGACGAGGTCAAGTGCCGATGCTTTCTCGCGACGCTGGAGGGCTCCGCGTGCGACTGGTTCAACCGGCTCCCGATGGGAACCATTGACGATTGGGATACGCTGGCGGAGAAGTTCTTGACGCATTTCGCGGCCAATCGAAGGCAGAGGCTACCTTACTCCCACCTGCTCAACATATGCATCCGCAAGGGAGAAAAGGTCCGCGACTTCATAGTCCGGTGGGAGAAGGAAGCCAGAGACGTGCATGGGGCGGATGACCAAGCGTTGGTTGCCATGTTCCAAGCAGCCCTTCCCCGCGGAGAGGTGAGGAAGGAGCTCCGCAAGAATCCTCCCCCCACGTACCAAGAGACCTTGGCGCGCGCGAAGTTCTTAGCCTCGGAGGAGTTCGACGACGCCCCAGACTCTGAGGCCGCGCCGGCCAAGCGAGCTCCACTGGACTCGGGAGAGACCGCGAAGAAGAGGAAGAAGAAGAAAGACTATACCGCGGGCCCGAGGACGCCCTCGGCCGGAGTGTACTCCGTGGGCGCCCCCGTGGGGACGGGTCGAGAGCTTGCCCTCTCCCCGCTCCCTCACGCAGAGGCTTACGCGGTGACCAGCGGAGCCAAGTATTGCGAGTACCATCGTAACAACACTCATAACACGAAGGAATGCTTCACTCTTCAGAAGGAAATGCAGCGACTCATCGCCCGAGGGCCACCTCCGCGAGACGATGCCGCTACCCCCTCTTGGGGGCCGCCGGAAGGAAGAACTTGGAGGAAGCCGACTGAGCCAGTCGCAGTGGCGGCACATGCAAGGAACCCCGAGAAGAGGCACATTGGGCGGGAGTGCGACGATCTAGACGAAGACGAAGCCCAAGGATATCCGGTGGGATTTATCCATGGGGGAAACATTGGAGGGGACTCCGTCGCTCAAAGGAAGAGGTGGAAGCACATGGCCTTTGTCGCCAAGGTCCATCAAGCGCCGGTGCCCAAGCTCGGAAGACGAGAGCAGATCCAATTCACGGAGAAGGATCTTCCGAACACGCCAAGCCCCCACTGGGATGCCTTAGTCGTGAAGATGGAGATTAACAATGCCATAGTTCACCGCACCTTAGTGGACACGGGAAGCTCAGTTAACATAATGTATGAGAAGACTTTCCAAGACCTCGGCTTGGATCGCAAAGACTTGAAGCCTATGCGCACTCCCCTCTCCGGGTTCACGGGGGACTCCATCGAGGCCGAAAGAGTCATCACCGTGCCCGTAATAATAGGGGATGGTGCGCACAAGGCCAGGTTGAAGATGGAGTTCATGGCTGTGAGCATCAATTGCGTGCACAACATGATCCTGGGACGGCCCGGCCTTGAGGACTTGGAATGTGTGATCTCCCCGTACTACTTGTGCATGAAGTTCCCCACCCCGTCCGGGATCGGGGTGGCGAGGGGAGACCAGAGGTTAGCCCGGTCGTGCTACGTCCGGATCACAAAGAAGTTGCCAAGAGATGAGACACTGGTCGTGAACGCGCAGGAGGAAATGCGCAAGATGGAAGCACGGCCGAAGGCCGAGCCCGCCGAGGGAGTCGAGGAAGTGCCGCTCGACCCGCGGGCACCCGAGCGGAGGGTTAAAATTGGGGCGAGCCTAATGGGGAGCCAGCGGAAACGCTTGGTGGACGTGCTCGCCGCCTACCGTGTGATCTTCGCGTGGGGGCCAGGAGACATGCCGGGTGTGGACCCCAAGATCATATGTCACCGCCTAGCAGTCAATCCGGAGTCTAGGCCGGTAAGGCAGAAGAAGCGTTTCCTCTCGTCCGAGCGGAGGGAGTTTGTCTCCAAGGAAGTCGCTACCCTCCAGAGCATCGGGCATATCAGAGAAGTCAAGTACCCGGAGTGGATGGCGAACGTGGTGTTGGCTTCGAAGGGAAACACTTGGAGGATGTGTGTGGACTACACCGACCTCAATAAGGCATGCCCTATGGATCCATTCCCACTCCCGAATATTAATCAACTGGTAGACGAGACGGCGGGTTGCGAGCTCATGAGTTTCATGGACGCCTTCAGCGGGTACCACCAAATCCGAATGCACCCCGAAGACGAAGAGAAGACGTCTTTCACTACTCCCGGCGGAGTTTATTGCTACAAGGTCATGCCTTTTGGACTCAAGAACGCCGGGGCAACCTACGCTAGGATGGTGAGTAAGCTCTTTGCGCCCGTTCTCGGGAAGAGCATGGAAGCATACGTCGACGATATGATTGTGAAGAGCAAGCAGGCGGCTACCCATGCAGAAGACTTAGGAGTTTTTAAGATTATGGAAAGGTACAACCTTCGGCTGAACCCGAAGAAATGCACGTTCGAAGTCCAAGGCGGGAAGTTCTTGGGACACATGGTGAGCAGGCGCGGCATCGAGCCCAACCCGAGAAGGTGCGTGCCATCCTTGACATGGAGGCTCCGCGAAATGTCAAGGAGGTGCAGCGCCTGACCGGAAAGTTGGCGGCGCTCAGCCGTTTCCTCTCCAAAGTGGCGGACCAAGCCGCTCCCTTCTTCCAGGCTGTGAAGAAGTCTCGAGGATTCGTATGGACGGAAGATTTCCAGCAATCCTTTGAATCTCTAAAGTCTTACCTTCTCTCCCCACCTGTCCTCGCCAAGCCCGAGCCCGGAGAGACCTTGTATCTTTATTTGGGAGTGTCGCCCAAGGCGCTAAGCTCGGTCCTGGTCCGAGAGGTAGGCGGAGCTCAGCACCCAGTGTATTACACGGCGAAGACGCTGAGGGGCGCCGAGCTCAGGTACTCTGTGGCCGAAAAGACGGTCCTGGCCGTAGTGTCAACCGTGCAGCGATTGACGCCATACTTCCAAGCTCACCCAGTCCAGGTGCTCTCCCAGCAGCCCATAGGTGCGCTGCTCAGGAGCCCGAACGCGCCCTCCCGCATGTCCAAGTGGGCGGTGTTCCTTGGAGCCTTCCAAATCGAGTTCAAGCCAAGACCGGCGATCAAGGGACAAGCGCTGGCCGACTTCGTGGTAGAGTGCACCGCTCGAGAAGAGCCGAGCCCGGCACTTGAAACCGATGATTGGTGGACAGTTTTTACCGACGGCTCCTCCGCCGCCAAAAACTCGGGGGGTGGAGTGGTGGTCATCGCTCCCGAAGGCTTCAGGGCATACTACTCGGTTCGATTCGGCTTCAAGGCATCGAATAATGAGGCGCAGTATGAAGCGCTCTTGTGCGGGCTACGCTTAGCAGCCGGGATGAACGCGACAAAGCTAAGGATAAAGTGCGATTCGAAGCTGGTGGTTGGCCATGTCTCAGGAGAGTTCGAGGCGAAGGACGAAAGAATGAAGAAATACAGAGATACGGCTTTGGAACTCCTTAAGAGCTTCACCGCGTATAGTGTCGAGCAGATCCCTCGGGCGGAGAATGCCGAGGCAGACATCTTGTCAAAGCTGAGCTCAGACACGCCCGAGCACATTAGACGGATGGCGAACGTGGAAGAGTTGTCCAAGCCAAGCATTCAGGCCTTCCCCGTGGCGATGATCTGTGATAGGCCCAGAGATTGGACGGACGACATAGTTGCCTTCCTGAAGGATGGCGTCCTCCCGGACGATGCAGTGAAAGCCAAGTTGGTCCGAACAAGGGCACCGGGGTATACATTGGAAAGCGGGAAGCTATACAAGCGGGCGTACAACGGGACGCTACTCAGGTGCCTTAGACCAACTGAAGCGAAACAAGTCATGGAAGAAGTGCACGCAGGCATCTGCTCCGCCCACCAAGGAGCGTACGCGGTGTCAAGGAAGATAACCCTCCAAGGATACTTTTGGCCCGCGATTGTGAAGGATTGCGCGGAGTTTGTGAGGAAATGCAAGGTTTGCCAAGAGTTCCAGAAGGTACCAGGGAGGCCTTCAACAAACTATACCCCCATCAGCACAGTTATTCCGTTCGCACGATGGGGGTGGACCTCGTGGGCGCGCTCCCTAGGGGTACCGGGAGCGTGAGGTACGTCATCGTAGCCATTGACTATTTTACTAAGTGGGTGGAAGCAGCCCCACTGGCAAGCATCACCGGAGCTCAATGCCAGAAGTTTCTCGCGAAGCAAGTCATTTGCCGCTTCGGCGTTCCCGAGCACATAATCACAGACAATGGGACACAATTCGAGTCAAAGCCGTTCAACGCCTTCCTCGAGAGTTGGGGGATCAAGCACAACTATGCGTCGGTCGGGTACCCTCAAACAAATGGTCAGGTCGAGAACGCCAACCGAACGATAATTGATGGTCTGAAGCGGAAATTGGAAGCTTGTGGAGGGGAGTGGACAGAGGAGTTGCCCTACATCCTATGGACCTACCGGACCACGCCTAGGAGGGCGAACGGGGAAACCCCCTTCGCCTTGTGCTACGGATTCGAGGCGAGGGCTCCTGCAGAGATCTCCATCGCTACTCACCGAGAGGAAATCTTCGACCCTGAGCGTAACGAAGAAGCCCTGGCAGCCGAGCTTCATCTTGTACACGAGAGGCGAGAAGCGGCCTTCATACGGGCTGAAAATTACCGAAGGAAGGTGAAGAGCTACCATGACGGGCGCGTGCACGCACGGGGGTTCACCGAAGGAGACTGGGTGCTGCGCAAGAGGTCCGTAAGCCGCCCCCTAGAAGGTGGAAAATTTGCCAAGTATTACGAAGGCCCCTACATCATCAAAGAAGTGGTAGGCCCCTCGATGTTCCGCCTGTAGACGCCGAGTGGAGGAGATGTGCCCAGGACTTGGAATGCCGAGAATTTGATTAAGTTTTATCAATTGAAATGTACACGGGCCCGAAAATGGGAACCCGCAACACCATGATTGAATTCAATGAAATGGAATTTTGTTTGCAAACAAGGTCTAATCTTCGTACTCGGCATTCCCCCTCGGGGGAAGAGCCGAGCGCAGACCATGTCCGGATGTTCTTCCCGGATAAAGGTCCAACCTTCGTGCTCGGCACTCCTCCTCAGGGGAAGAGCCGAGCACAGACCATACCCGGACGTTTTTCCCGGATGGAGGTCAAACCTTCGTACTCGGCATTCCCCCTCGGAGGAAGAGCCGAGCGCAGTCCATGTCCGGATGTTCTTCCCGGATAAAGGTCTAACCTTCGTGCTCGGCACTCCTCCTCAGGGGAAGAGCCGAGCACAGACCATACCCGGGCATTTTTCCCAGATGAAGGTCAAACACTCGTGCTCGGCACTCCGCCTCAGGGGAAGAGCCGAGCGCAGACCATGTCCGAATGCTCTTCCTGGATAAAGGTCTAACCTACGTGCTCGGCACTCTTCCTCATGGGAAGATCCGAGCGCAACCCTGAAAGCTAAGGGCGAAAAGTGAAAGCAAGACTTAATCACATCCAAATTTTATTCATCCCGGAAAACGGGCAAGTGCATGGCACAAATGCCTTACAATAATTAAACACATTACAATGATTAAAGCAAGAGTTAACTTCAGTGCATGCCACAGTTCCACCCACGCTCGCACGGGCAAGGCGGGGGGTAGGAAGGTGAAGGAGCTCGACTGACGACGGAGTGCCCGGTAGACTCGTCATAGCTGGGCGAGCCTGGGTCTTCAAGGGAGCACCGGCTCGAATGGTGGGATGCCACAGAGCTCTTGCTCGGAACCGCTGCGGGAGGAGCTGGAGGGCGGCGGCCTCGGCCACCGCGGCCGGCAGGAACCGGAGGGGCGACAACCTCACGACGGACCGGCGGAGCTGGCGGAGATGGGGTCTTCTCGTCCTCCTCCGACGAATAGTAGATGAAACCCGGGATCTTGGCAGAAGGATCTGGGTGTACCGACTCGGACTCAGAGTCCGAGTCCCAAGAGTCCCGCAGAGAGGGCGGCGGGGTCGAGCTCGGCCCCGACTTGGTCGGAATGGCAGAAGAGCCCCCGAGGGAGTAGCTGCCGAAGGAGAGCGTCTCTCCTCGCATCTCACTGGAATCGGGAGGAGTGGGTGCCGAGCGCGGCATGGCAAGATTTGCAGAAATCCAAAGGTGAGTGCAAACAAATTATGGGGACCCCCCCTTATATAGGCATCTTGCCTAGGGGGGACGATACACGTGGCAGCATGGGGACGGTCAAACTGACGGCAGGTCAAAAGGTCCCAAGTCCCAAGGTTGTCTCGGATAACGAGGGGACAGAAAAGAGACCAAGTCCCAAAGTGACCTCTCTTCGGCGTGGCCGAGCTCAGGTCGGACGGGGATGGGCGAGCACGCCAGTTAAAAGAAACGACGAAGGCAGTAAAATTAAGGGCAAAAGAGAAGAGCATAGCACATCCATACAAAGCATCGAGTCATAACATATCCGAATTCAAAAAAAAACAACAACAAAGTCTTGAGCACCATTACATCAAATACAACAAAGCTTCACGTCATATCACTCAGCATTCGGCTGCTCGCCGGCTGGGTTCCCTCCATTCGGGTAGTAGATGGAAGTGTCGAGCTCATCAAGATTGTCGCTTGGCTCGGGGAAGTCCTCCCCGGCGAGGAACCTGTCCGAAAGGACCTGCTGCGCTCGGAACAAACCGAGGTTGTACCACGACGTCCCTTCGGAGCGAGCGAATGCCTTCCCCTCAAGAGTCTGCCCCCATGCCTTGAACAAATCATTCATGCGAGCGAAGGCTTCCTCCTGAAACGCATCCGATGCTAGGAACTCGGCAACGGCCTGATCGCGAGCCTCCTGGCGCGCCTTGCGAGCAGCCTCCTCCGCGAGCTGCTGGGCCCGCTCCTCGGCCTGGCGAGCTTGCTCCTTGGCCGCCTTTAGCGCCTCGTTGAGGTCAGCTATCTCAACATAAGCCCTGCTCCGGTCAGCCTCGCTAGTGCGTAGCCGCTGGCTCATGTCGACCATGCGCATCATTGCCTGCAGGTAAATCAGGGGTGAGCGCCGAGAAGAGTTGCATTTATAAAGTATGACTAGAGAAACTTACCGAGCCCATCTCGTGAAACATATCCGAGGCCAGAGTTTCCCGGTCGACGTCCTGGATTTTGGCGCGATCGGTGAGAGGAGTCAAGCTGCGCAGAAAGGTCTCCGGGTCGTAGTCCCGGTCCAGAAAGGAGACCCCTGCAGGGAAGGCCGCCTTGACATATTTCGGGTGGCCGAAATCCTTCATCATCGGGGATTCGGACCCCTGGGGAGTATCATTGGCCGAGGCCGTCTCCTTTCTCTTCTTCTTCTGGGCCGCCTCGGGGG